GAAAACTATCTGCAGCCTCCAGCCTTCCTCTTCTGATCTTCTCCCTGCACATGTTTTATTATTTTGCTTTGACTTAGCAGCTTTTGCCAGCCACGGAGCACTTCACAAGATTCTGAGCCACAGGCTTGGATTGGGACAGGGGCTATCACAAATGGGTACAGAGTCACATTGCCTCCAAGGAAGCATCTGCTCCTTGGAGTTAATCTTATACTTGAACTGATTTTACTGAAGGAATAATCAGTTTGTGGATGTTATTGGTGCACAGATGCCTACTCTGATGTAGGTGGGCTCTGGTTTTGTATCCTCTCTGTGCCATGGAGATGGCCTGTGCCTCAGGGACATCTAAGGAGGGATTAATCTTAGAGCAGTGGGAAAGACTCCACGAACGTAAACGGAGCAAGACTCATTTAAAAGTACAAATGTTAGTGTGAGAAAAATTGAGAATCTGGCCAGTAGCAAATCTGCAATTAGAGTTTTCAAGATGTTCAGTGAATGCAAGTAACTTTTCTGCTTAAGCAAGAACAGATCCAATATCCAGCTGATGTGTTTATCACAAATGTGGTAATAGAGATCTCTGGTTTATTTTCTGCTGTTTAACATAGTGTTCATAAATGACTGATACTTAATTAATTGAAGGCAGTATTACAGAAACCAATCTGTTGAAAAAGATTCCTTTAAACCAGCAGTTGTCATCTTCATTCTGATCTCAGAGAGGCAAGTTCTCAGTTATTATCTCTTCCCAGACAAACTCACAAATAAACACGAATAGAAACAGTGAAGGTGAAACACCAGAAAAAAATGTTTTCATGTTTTTTTTTCTCTCTGGGTAAGGACTATGTTCAGAAATATTTATTTTTTTTTCCTGGAATAGGACAGCAAATTTTCAGGGGTTATTAAAAAATCAGGGTCAAAAATAATCTCTTTTCCCATATTTTACTCTACACAAGAAGTAATCCCCATGTAATCAATAATTCTGTCTATACCAATAAATAAACTGTGTCTCAGATCACATTTTGGTTCTGGGGCCAAGGGTACAATGTGGCCACTTCTAAGAACACTGCACACTGTTATGCCGAGGACAGAGTAGATATACCAGCTATAAGTGAACCTTTTCCTGTGCTGTCCCTCAAATCATGCCCAGGCACTATCCTGGAGGTCTCAGCTGACACAAAAATAATGCCAACTTTTTCCAGAACTTGAGATTTAACAGTTTGATGACTGATGGTTGGTGTAGATTAGCTCAATCTATGCAGTTAGGGCACAATCCAGACCCCAAGCACAGGACACCATTTCTATGTCCTGGAGCGAGGAAAGCACGAGGAATCTTTCTCCAGGACATATCTCAAAAGTCTCCATCAAGACTTCATACATCCAGCTTTGTTTTCCTGCTCCGCCACGGTCTATCTGCATGACCTTGGGCAAGTCACTCTCTGACTGGGCTGCAGACTGCAGCGTAGCAATAACCGTGAACAGGCTAGACACGGTCCCCAAAACAACAAGAGCCAGCATTTTCCCACAGCCTGTTTCACCTGAGCTAGCCTACAATGACCCCTGTGTTGCCAGAGTGGATTTTAAACACATCTCAGGCATTGGAAACCACGCTGCAGCCTGCGCTCTGAATGTGAGTGCCTTGTCTCTGCTCCTTCTCTGGCAAGTGGAGAGACCAAGGCTTCCTGACTCACAGAAGGGCAGTGAAGATGGAAGTATTCAGGGCTACAACCTCTTCTGACACTACAGCAAGTAATGGTTAAACAAACATCACCTTCCACATACAGATTTCCTTAGCAAAAGTCGAGCAGTTTCATCAGATTTTGCAGCCCAATAAGAGCTGTTTCAAAACTAGAGCAGTTTGCTTAAACCTGCTCAGACAGCTCCCACAAAGTTCCCATGGGAGACCTGTCAAGAGTTCACCCTCAGTGAGCCTTCAGCCAGCTTTACCTGAAAGAACTGAAAGAATTTGGCCTTCATCAGGACATGAGAAGGGGGACAAAGTGAGAGCTGCTCACAAGGCTTGAGGGAAATGAAAAACTACAAGGTGTTTTTGCAGCTCCCATATGGAGCAGGAGTGAGGTTGGAACAGCTCAACATTGTCATTGTGGTTCTCAAACCAGTACAGCTTGACACTTGACCCATGTCAGCTGCAGACTAAACACGTCTGGGGCACCTTCATGGTTTGTAAATCCCCATATTGTTCTTAGAAGATTTTTGTTCAATTTGAGGCCATTATTAAAAGAAAAAGACATCAAAATCTACCAGTATTAATCAAGCAACCTGACCTTTGGGAAAATGAGGCAACCTAGAAGATCTAGTGGGTCCTAATGATGCAGAAAATTTTAGCTGAGAAGAATCCCAAGGGCATGGACCAGGGAATGTGATGAGCACTGGTCCACACTGAATGAGAGCAGGCATATTTGGCCCTCTTATTTGCAGTCCCATGAGGTTTAGCCACAATCACTCCTTCATGTCATAACTCAAGAACAGAGAAATAAAACCCCTCGCAGATACAACCACAGGGCTTGTTTCCTCCTGCTGAACAGCCAGAAACTGATCTACCCTAGTGGGTGCAGCATCTGAGATATTTCTGGTTAAGCACAACTGGACACCTCAGAACAAGCAACACAGACCTGGATTTCTACAGCCTTTGCTCAGAGTGCAAAGAGAGGGAGGTCAGTAAATAGCCTGTGAGCCTCGATTAAACCATGACTTTGTTCGTGGCTTGAAGGAGAGCACACACCTTCCTAACCCTTGGTAGATGGGACAACAGACATGACAGGGATGACCTAATGAATTAATCTAAAAAAATAGTAATTTAATCCCAGGAGCTGGAACCAAAGGGACCAGAGGAGGTGAGTCTCTGTGGACAGAGACTCTGCCTTCTAAGAAGAACCATTGCTGAAGACCAGTGCAGGTTCAGGACTGACTGCAACAAAGTCCTTACCTTACCAGAAGACAAAAAATTGTGGCAAAGTGTATTTCTTTTTCTCAGTAAAAGCAGGAACTCTCCTTATCCACAGAAATGGGTTGTAATTGCTGGCTTTTCTCTGAAATGCAGTCACAGATTTTGGTGGCTTTACGTTCTTTCACTGGAAAGTGGGTAGAAAGCTGCCTGCTCTGTCCAACTTTAAACTGAGATACTTAAGGGCATTTATTCCTTCATCCAGAAGATGATACAGAACAACTGCTTGGGAGTTTGAAGGTGCTAGGCTAGTATTTTGCAGTACCTAGAGTCAGACATCTATGCTTTGGGAAAACCTTTCTCCCTGTGTGAATTATCTACCAAGCACTTTTATTCCAATAGGTCGCTAATCCAGATCACATATACTGTCCTTTGCTTTTATCTTTAAAAAAGGAGGAGCTGTAGGCACTATTCTAGTAAAAAAACACATTGCAAGTGACCCCATCCTAGTTTTGCCAAGCTCAGTTAGTGTTTCTCTACACAAGAAAATTAATCTGGATTGAGAGAGTAGGATTACAATTTCTGTATGAAAGTGTGTTACAATTATGTTAGTCTAGATTATCAATGTTCTCCATTGAACTACCTTAGTCTTAACTTTAAAAATAAGCAAAATGGAATGGAAGAACCCAAATTTTGCAATAGCGGGATTGTCTTTGCAGCAAATTAGAAGATAAAATTTGTTCAGGGATATTTAACCCAGAATAATTTGTTTTTCTGAGCACTCCTTACACTCAGTACTTTCCAGCAGCAGCAAGGACACCTTTTCATTTCCACACACTCAGCTCAAACAGCCACAACTCTGCACAAAGCAATTACTGTAACATCTACATGGGACCAAATCCCAGCTGTCCCACCTGACCCTTTTACTGAAGCAAGGAGACCAACAAAAACAGAGACATGTCTCTGCTTCAGATTTAGGGACAGGGACTGACTTTTTTTTTTTTTTTTTCCTGGTAAATGAACAGTAAGAAACAAATTATGACTTCAGGATCTTGGTGCTGGTACTTGCAAGAGCATTACCTCCCTCATTCCTGAGGAACTCTTTAAAAAAGGGGGGGACAGGTAACCCCAAAGATCTCTGGTGTACAAGAAGGACCGTATCCTCCTCAGTATGACCTGAGCCACGAGTAAATAGTGTGCTAGGGAGTTTGTTACACTCTGTTAAATAAATCCTGCCTCTGGTGCAATGCCCAGGGGAGCATGCAGATACACTGTAATCCACAGGAAGTTCTTTCCTGAGCCACCTGCAAACTTCGTACCTTATTTACTCCCAGCAGCTTAGTCCTGGTGAGCTGGGTTGCTCCAGATGGGAGGAAAAGAAGACGGGAGCTTTTTTGCCAGGGAAGTAGTCCTGACATAATTCATGCCAAATTGTTTATTCTTTTAATTGGAACGACTGAAACTTCTTCCACCTTTTACCTTGTTTCAACTTTGCTGGAAGCCTCCAGCTGGTGGGATCCCTCCCAAAACTCCAGCCTATCCATCAGCGACGGAGTTAATAATTTTCACACTGAGAGAAAAAAAAACATCCCACTTCCCCTTCTTTGCATGCAGGTAAAGAAGGCAGGACACCTGAAAATGCTTCTGGCCCAAACCTCCTGTGCTCCTACAGCACTGGAAGGGGAAGGCAGATAGAGGAGCTCACTGTGTCTTTGAGGAAAGCTTTTTCTGGGCACATTAAAGATAAATTATCCCACCACAGCAGTGAGGCTGGAAAAGGTGATAGTGCAACCCAGCTCTGAACCACCCACCGATCTCCTGTCCCTTTTCCCCCATGTATTGAACCTTCAGGGCACTGCAAGGTCTCCCGGTGCTCAGGCTCTCCACTCCCTGCTTCTCCTGCTTCAGTAGCGTCCACTCCCCCACCCTCCCTCCTCTCCCAGAACAATAGCAAGGCACCGGATTCAGCTGCTTCCCAAGGAAAGCCCAGATCACACACATTTCGATAGAGAGAGATAGATATGATTATATTTCTCTTTGCTGTTTAGGACAAGAAATGAAGTGCTGCCTCTTTAATTGGCAAAAGCATGCAGTAAGAGCATACCTTTAATTTAGTGTTGGGATAGCTCACTTGCACCCTGGCTGTTGTCTTATTGGAGAGGGCAGCCTGCCTCAGATCCTCTAGCACTGAAATAATATCATCCAGCACGCATTTCTTATCCTGATTTCTCAACACACACAGATGGGAAAAAGTATAATTATAGCCTTTGTAGTTCACCTTCATTTCCAGTACGGCTCGGTGGATCTGCAGGATCACATCAGCCTGATGCAAAATATTGCCTCCGGGTTTGGAGAGGAGAATCACCCTGCCATACCTCCCCGGGGTGTGCAAGTCCGAATACAGCTGGCTTTTGGATTGATCGAGGGAGAAAAGGCTGCTGGCTAAGCTCCTCTCGATCTTGGCCAGGCTGTGGCTGGGGGCTACCAGGCTCTCCAGGTCAGTGTCAGGCTGGAAGCGGTTGAGCAGGCTGAAGCCGAAGATGATGGTCAGGACTGCGGGCACAGTGAGGAAAAACACCGGATGCCTGCTCACGAATAAGCCCAGCTTGTAGAAAAACGACTGGAGCCCTCTGTGTATCACCTGCCGCAGCATCCTCCACCAGATCCAGCCTGCAGATGCTCCTGGCCGTCTTAGAAAGCACATGTGACATGTGTAGCTCCTTACCCCTTCCTGCCAGTTTCCCTTTCTCTCTCCCTCTCTCTCTACTACTCCTTTAAAAGACTGCAGCAAGTTGCAGCAAGACAGCCAAATATTGATCAATGGGGTGTGTGTGTGCGTGCGGGTGTGTGTGTGTGTGTGCCGGGGGTGGAAGGGACCGGGCAGGGGAGGGAGGAGGAGGGGGGGCTCCTTGCCTTTTTTTCCCTCTTTCTCTTTTTCCCCCCTGCTCTCTCTCCTCCCTCCCCGCGAGCCAGCTATCATCGCCGCCCCCCTTCCCCTCCCTCCCCTCCCTCCCGGTGCCCCCCTTTCTCCGGCGAGGCTCGGGCGTTGCACCGGGAGCTCCGCAGTGCCCGCTCCGCTCCGCGCCCCGCGCAGCCCCGCGCCCGGCCCCGCTGCTCCGGGGCACTGCCCGCTCTCCCCCTCCACACAAACACACACACATATACGGAATTTGCCGGGGCAGGAGGATGATGCTGCATTTTAACGTCCCCCGACCCCACCGCGCCCCTCCCTCACCCCCTCCTCCCCATCCACGCCGGCTGCCGGAGGAGGGAGAGCTCGGCTCGGGGACTTGGCGAACCGCTTTCCCACAGCAGCAGAAGCAGCAGCAGCAGCCACCGCGCTCCTCTCTCGTCCCCCGGTCCCGCGGCTGCTGCATCCCCCCGCCGCACTCTGGTCTCCATCTCCCGGTCCCGCGGCTGCTGCATCCCCCCACCGCACTTCCCTCTCCATCCCCCGGTCCCACGGCTGCTGCATACCCTCGCCGCGCTCCATTCTCGCCCCCCAGTCCCACCGCATCCCCCCGTCGCGCTCGGCTCTGCCCCAGCCGCGCTGTGGCTTTCGGAGTCGGGAGGACACTCGACACACAGCGCTCCAGCACAGATTTCCCCTTTACACTTTCCCCCCATTTGCTGCCCGTGGTCGCCCAGGTGGAGCTGCCCCGTGCTCCTACAAGGAGGAGGGTGACCCAAGGAAAGGTTGGGGACAAGAGGAGGAAGGGGAGGGGAGCTGCTCCTTTCTGCTGCCCCACGCCCTGGCACATCTCCCCCGGCCAGCTGCTCTCTCAGCAGTGACCCAAGACAGGTAGGACACGGCTCCTGACATCCTCCAGCTGAAAAAGAGGTTTTCCAAGCAAAGACACCAGCAGACCATTACATAAGAGGAGAAAAATTCTGCAGCTCTCCGGACCAAAGGCGAGCAGCAGGGAAATGCATTTGCAGCAGGCGAGCTGCCCACCAACTCTCCAGGCAGCAAGCTCTGCTCCTCTGGGACCCTCAGCCAGGACTGCTGAGGACAGCAGGTCCAGCCCCAGCAGACCTGACAGCCCCTTGCAGGAAAGACAGGAGGAAAGGCAGGCTAGCTTTGCAGGAGCTTTATATTTGTAACTCTAAATCCCAGAAATGCAATTAAAAAACATCCACCAAAATGGTGCAGATCTCTGCTTGGCGTCTCTCCCTTCACCAAATTTCTGTTATACTTCTGTTAGTTTTGTCAAGTAGAAATTATTTGTTTTGGGATGGGACCAAGGATATTGTGCAAAGTCTGAGAGAACAAGGCTTTTCCATAATAAAGCCCTACAGATACAGAAGGGTGAGTGGAAACTGAGAAGCTCAATAATGTCAGTTAGCAGCCTCTGCCCAATTCAGGACTAGACAAACAGCAGGTTATGCTCAGCTTGAAGTATTTATTAATTAGTGTTTTGAAGAAAAAACACCATATTCAACAATACCTTTCACGCTGACACCCCTACACATATGCTTTTACTGCTAGTAATGCTTGGACTTGATCTTAGAGCTCTTTTCCAACCTTAATCATCCTATGATTCTGTGTTGATGAACAGGACTTGCAAAGAAGAAGCTCACCTTTGAGGGCTTTGGACAGCATGGGTTAGGTTGTGGAGACAGTGATTCAGACTAGGAACCTGAAGTTCCTCAGAAGTGTGGAAACATGAAATTCCTCCAAGGAACAGAGATGCTGGGAGCACTGGACTGGAAACCTACATGACTGAAATCAGTGACTAATATTCAAAACTGCCTTAGTAAAACTGGCTTAATTTTTAGGCATTTGAATGGGTGCTGCAAGCACATCATGCCTTTCAAATTCAGGCTGTTTTTATTTAGTGGCCTAGGTACTGCTGATCTGCAAATGTGGGCTGGATTTCTTACTGGCAACACAAAGCAGAGGTCTAAGGTGGGAAATTCTGGAGAAAAAACCCCTATCAGCCACCTATTTGCATGTCTTAAGATATTGCCTATGATGGAAATCTGCCTCAACAACCCCAGGAAATGCTAAGCTCCATTGGTACAAATTACAGCTCTTTGTCTATTTTATGATGCACTTATGCCAATGGTTGAGTGCTCCCAGTGAATAAAGTCTAAATGCAAAGGCTTTATTGAGCCTTTGTACTTACATAAGTGAGACCTTGGGTGGGAAGTCAGAGCCTGATTCTTAATTTCTACACATGGAGTCTTCTAACAGCCTTTGACAGAGTATTGTCATCATGTCTAAGCTGTGGGTGTTGGTAGCAGAGATACCTGAGCACTGTGGACTTCAGCAGAGACTACAGAAGCTCTGCCTGAAGCCTTTGGGTCCTTGGCTCTTATTGCTTCTGTGGCTTATACAGATGTTGGGATCTGGCAGGGAGAAACCTGCAGTCACTTCTCTTGGTTGTGTGGCCTTACCCTGTGAGTCCTTCACAGAGCTAATCGTGGCTCAGGAGCTTGGCCAGATCAGAGAAGGACAGATTTGTTGGGGAAGTAAAGGACCTGAAAGACCATGGGCAAGGACCCCTTCCACTAGACCAGGTCGCTCAAACCTCCGCCCCATCTGGCCTTAGACACTTCCAGTGCCTCACCACCCTTACAGTAAAGATTTTCTTCCTAATATCTAATCTAAATTTACCCTTTTTCAGCTTAAAACCTTTCCCCATTCACCCATTAGGTCACAGGAAGCAAATGAGACAATTCACTTCAGCAAATGATCGCAGGAACAGTTCAGGAACACAGAGTAGGCTGGACCACCCTGGGAGGAGCAAGTCCCTCTAGTGTCTAAATAAGATATGGCAAAGGATGTTTCTTTTCTGCAGGTTCTGCAGGTCTTGGACAACTCCTGTGTGCCAGGATGCTGCAGTGGAACATTCCAACACGGCATTGCTGAGGCACAGATCATGCAAAGAGAGGGCAAAGAAGGAGGTGCAATGAAAGGTGTGACTGAGTACATGCTGTTTCCTTCCTGAGCAGGAGAATAGAGGATAGTGCCAAAGGGCACTGCCAGTTGGTCTTGCCTGTCCCTGGGAGTACACGGTAACAACGTGTAATCCGGCATTAGTGCCGGTAAAACTGGCTTAATTTTTAGATATTTCAATGGGTGCTGCAATCACATCATGCCTTTCAAATCCAGGCTGTTTTTATGTAGTGGCCTAGATACTGCTGATCTGAAGGTGCCTGAAAGCTTTACCCCGCAGGAAACATGGATGATAAAGCAAGTAATGCATTACATTGGTCATCCCAAATGGCAAAATCCATGGAGGATCTGAAAAGTCAGCTGGAAGTACGTCTCAGAAACAAGCAGGGCATCAGCACCTTTTCTGAGAACAGTGCTGGGATGTGCTGATATTTATATCCTCCCTGGTGTCATCCAATGAATCCTCTTTAAAGGGGAATAACAGCCATGTCAGGGTTGTTAGCTGGGGGAACTGAGAGATAGTTCACAGAGAAATAGCGAACCACAAAGAGAGATCCAAAACAGTCAGAAATATTTGAAACAAGATTCAGCTTGGAAAAAATGCAGCTCTTATCTGAGGAAAATAATTGGAGTTGCCTATTCCCAGAAAAGAGACCACTTTGGAAACAAATGACTCGGCACAAAGGAAATAATGGGATTACAGCACAGGGTAAGGTAGACATGGTTTTGGAAAAGGCATTACAGAGCAGAAAGTAAAAGCAAATCAAATTTACTTGCAGGGTATCCTAAAGCAAGGAGGGAGGGAACAGTCCCTTTAATACTCTGATGTGACTGCAGTAGTGTTCAGCTCAGGGGGTTACTGAGACACAGTAAACTTGTCACTAGTTTAAATAAGAATTATTATCAGGCTTCAGGTGTTGGCATAGGTGCACTGATTAGGTACTGAGAAAGGTAGATTGGAGGCCAAGGAGCCAGACTGCCATATGTTGATTCACAAGCAAGTAAAGGCACAAATGGTCCTATTGACATAGTGAATTTAGGTTGTTATGGTTTAATAGCTGGGTGGATATAGTAAAAATTTATGGTATAAAAAGACATTAAATAGTGAAATAAAAGCAGGGGAATGATTCGTAATAGCCACAGAGGCTGTGTAAAACAGACTTCAGACTGACTAGCAGTTCGTATTCATACACCTATATGATTTTCTACCTCGAACTGAGAAGGAAAAACTCTAATGTGATCTAAAGTTTAGTTTTAGAAATGTGGCTTTTAATGAAAAATCCCTTAGGTATTCTCCTTTCAGTTCTGAGCTTCCTCAAAGTGCAGGGCCAGCACTTCATAGGGTGAGCATGGGTGGGAATGGGGAGACAGAGAGTGTCTGTGTATCCTACTGGGAGATGAGAGCACTGGAGAAAGGATGTAAGAGCTGGTGCTACCCTCTGGGAAAAAAATACAAAGCAAAACCTGCGGTTGAATTGGCTGTTTTGGTTTTGTGTTATGTGGTGGTCTTGAAAATGGTTGAGGAAACCCTGCCAGCTGCAGAAGTGGAGGGTATGAAACACCAAGGTACCTCGTGCCTTTTGGGGAGGTTGTCAGGGCCTGTAGGACCAGAAACATGCACCCATTAACCTTGGGAATTTAATACAGAAACATCTGAGACTGATGAAAAGCATGGACAGTCATCCTGTCAGTAAAGGTGCAGGAGGTTTTAACAGCAAAAGGAATGGTAACAGCAAAAGGAATAGATGCTAAAGAGCCTTTGAAACTCTGGTATGGGAGGAAACAAGTATTGTGTAATGTACTGATATGTTTTCAAATGGTCAGCTTTATTGCAAAGGTTTTATTCCCCCAGTTGGGTTCTATTTCCTTAAGTAGCTGCAGAGCAGTTGGTGAAGTTGCTAAAATATGCTCACATGAATAAAGGTTGTCAAGCC